CGTTTTGGTGTCTCGTGCATCAGATAACATTAAGTAATTATCTGGCACCAACAAACAGTTGTACCACATTCATGCTTCCCAGCCCACTGGCTTGGTGTCACCCACCTCCCCTGGCCCAGCTCAGCTACACTTTTTTCCTTTCCTCTTGGAAAATGGAGCCATTAAGAAAGTTTCAGCCTTTCCCTGCCCTCCTACAGCTTTTGCAGGATTTTATAACAGCTGGCACAGGGTGAGACAGTAGCTCTCTATACAACTTTATGCATTTTATCATTATTACTCTTCATTAGGAGGGCAGCAGTGTCGAAAAGCCCAGGCACAGTTTCTGGGGGCTTAGTGGCTAAAGCATAACTAAGAATACATGGGCCTTCCCCCAACAACCTTGTCATCTACTTTAAAACAAGACAGTAATTGCTGGAAAATTAGTACAACACTGCAATGAAGATGAGATCAATGATAAAAGTATTTAGAGAAACTACTTTTTTTCTTTCGAGATTTAAAAAACAACAACAAAACCAACAAAACTCAGTCATTCAACTGAGGAAATTAAAGTACACATCAGGGCATTGCTTGTCCACTCTGAAGCTTGTATTTCATCCCAGTATAAATAAACCTGGACTGTGACAAGAAAATAGTGCTTCTACTCACATAAAAGCCATTATGCCTGTCCTTTTAAGCCAGTATTATTTTCTTGTCCCGTTTTTGGTGGATAACGTTAGTTTACACCTCATTAGCAAGTACTTTTTACCCTGACTGGACAAATGGCACCAAGTCTTTATCCCTGTGTGCTGTGTTTAGACAGGAGCTTTGCATTTATAGCAAATACTTTCTTGCCAGGTCACAGTTTGCCACAACCAAGGAGACAGTGGCAAAGGAAAGGTCGTGCCTGTGGCCATACATTCACTGATCATCCATTACACACCAATGTTACAGTCCTTGGCTGGATCTGAAACGTTTAATTGTTCTTTTCCTGGGGGCCAAATAAAACTTGAAGATACCTTAGTCTGTCTGCACATTAAACAGGGCTTCACTGTCCTCTGCCCATCGCCAGCATGCACAATACCCTCCCTTGCTCCCATGCCACGCAGCAGCGCCCAGTGCTCTCCCCTCCATTGTGGAGCCTAAAAAGGGAGATCTGCAGATGCAAGGATTCATTTGGCTGGGCAGTATCCAAAATAAAGCTAAAAACACTGCGTAGATGTAATTTTGTTTCAATTTCTTAACCACTGCCACATCTGAATTCTGGCACAGACAGGCTGATACTTAAAGAAAAAGTGTCATTATAAGTATCTGTTGGGAAAAAAATAAAAACAGCAGTAACAACAAAATCAGTATTTTGTACAAGTTCTTCAATAATTTGTAAAGAAGTATAGCAATAGAATATGATGAAATACTAGTAAATGGTCTGCTGTCTTTGAAATAAAACTCATTCAATTTTTAAGGCCCAGTAGCCTTCCTCTTAACTGGTCCCTGGCTTGCTACAGAGTCAAAACGTTGCCACATACAGTGTTGAGAAAAGTGGGATGTAAACTAACCTAAGTGTATTTCCAATTTTATTGCATAGTAACAACAGAAATCAGGTTTGATTAGCAAGATATAAATTCATTTTCAGAATCTGCAAGTTCTCAGTTACTCACTAGCTGGTAAACAAATAAATAATGCAGTGTGAATTGAAACGCATCTCTGCCTTGAGCTGTATAATGCAATTGTTGCCATTTAATTCAGCTCTGAGATTAGTTTGCAGCATAGTCCGGTACTTTTGTAAAGGTACATTAGCATACATATGAACTATGAAAGCAAGTATCTGTTTTATGGTATTTGCTGACTAAGACTAGAATGTCAATGCCTTCACTTGACTCTGCAAAAGTATAGTCAAGACTTTTTTTTTTCTTTTTTCTTTTTCTTTTTTTTTTTTTTTTTCCTCCCCTTATTCCCTCAATTCAATTCTCATGACCTCCAAAGGTGAGAGATCAGGAGCCACTTGCCTCATACTTTTTCTGACATAAACAGCAAAAGGAGCTGAGGAAGAGGAGTGGCAGCTGGGCATCTAGATGGGTTTGAAGTTTCTGCTAGGTGCAGCTGTATCTTTTGGTACTTAAATTCTTCTAAGTCTATGTCTTTCCCCAAGTGAGCGGTGGCTTACATTCCTCGTTTTTCCCTTAGACAAGTACAAAGTGTCACACAGTTACTTAAGGCATATCGCTCAGTACTCAGAGCAAAATGCAGGACACGTCACCCCTAGGGCTAAGATGTACATGGCAAAACCCAACATAAAGCAGCACCTTGACACTTCAAGTTATATTAACAACAACAACCACCACCACCAAACACTGACATCTCAACTGAAAAACAGCAAACATTCATAAAAATCTGAAAAATTATCCTCTTGAGTTTTAGAATTTTTATAGAACATTTAAAGACTTACTTACAGAATTGGAAGATTTTGACAGAAAAACAAGTACTAAACACCATCTTTGGTAATGACCTTTTCTGAGAGAACCCAGTTTGGAACCAGAAGTACTACCTTTAGGCTTCGTTGAATACTCTCAAATTCCCCTTTTCAGCCTTTTTGTGTGAGCTATACCACAGACTTTACGGTGTACCTGTACAGCTGCCTAGTCAGAGTAGCTGAAAGATCAGACCTAGACCTTTTTGATGAAGTCTAGGTGACATTTCATTCAAACCTCAGCTTGCTAATTTTGTTCCAGTTATTTTTGTCTTCCCGTATTGAAGAATAAAAAGATAATTCACTGCCACAGGAGGCCCAGAGAAGCAGTGAAAGGTCCATCCATGCAAATATTAATAACTCAGCTGGACTCAGACCCAAGCAACCTCGTGTCCTTCACTCTTGTTTTGCACTGGAGGCTGGTCCAGATAACTGCCAAGGTCCCTTTTGGCTGAAGTTAGGCTATAATTGTAGGTCTCTAGGGTACACCTCCAACCCCTTTGGTCAGTCCACCTGAGGGTACTTATTAGCTGCCCCCATCATACATGGCAGCCGTTGAAATTACATGACCACCATCCTCAGTGTAGCTGCAGATTTCTAAGCAGCTTCCAGGTGAGAGGGGCAGAGGGAACTTGCCAACCCATCCAGCAACTCACGGGATGGAAGGGTTGTGAGGGTTAAGAGAAGAAAAGCCATCTGGCTGTTGTTCACAGTGAAGTTATATTTGTTTTGAACATGTTTCAGGAATATGATTTATTATCAACAGAGGAACTATGGAAGTAAGTTAATTTACATATTGTTTTCAAATGTTTTGTTAAATGAATTGTACATTTATAGCGATACCAGAAACCTTTCACATTCTGTTCACAGAAGTGTAGTTAGTAAAGAGTTTTCTTTTCTTGAAAAGTTTTACTGGAACTATTTATTCTGTCAGTTTAATCAGTTCCTCAGCAAAACAAAATAGGGAACATCTTTACAGTGATCCTTACAGAGGTTGCTGTTGTAAAACAAAGTTTTCCTTTAGGTACAATGAATACAGCACTTCCTGTCCTTGCAAGTCTAATATTAAAAAAACATGGTCCTTTAACCATCATTTTAATGCCTGCTTGAGGGGAGGTGGAGAGGAAAAGCTTGCTATTTCCCTGTTGTCACCTTCCTTTTTCTTAGGATACACATCAGTTACACTACCTCCAGCTATAGGCTTGGCCCGCCAGAGCACCCGGCACCAGGGTGCTGCCCATAAGGGGACACCCTTGGTTGCGGCCGGAGGGACATTGAGCGCATCACACTGATGTGCTGCTTTGAGACAACACGAGCACGCTGTCAACAAAGTTGTGGTACTTGCCCAGAGCTGGGAAGAAAGACATGTTTGCCACTAGTATCGATACCCACATTGGTGCTGTGGCATCTGAGCACCTAGCCATTTCCTTTTAAAAGGAAAAAGGCATGGCCACTCTTGCACTTTTGCTTCTGAAAAAGGGATGGGGAAGAACCACATATTTTGAACCTACATCCAGATTTCTGCAAAGTCAAAAGTTTTAATTGGATTCAAAGTTTGGCTAACATGGGACAGCAAGTAATAGCAGCAGAGAATGACTTCAGGCTTTTGCATAGTTCCTTGCTGAAATCTGGATCCCAATTGGTTTAACACCGGCTGTGTCGAGTAGCTGCCGCCCATCAGCCACCACAACAAAAGGTCTTGATCCGCGAATCATCCAGGGCAGGCGTCAACCTGGACGTGTTGCAGCTCCCTTCTGGCCCGCACACATGGTGCTTCTCCCCACAGAGAGCAGAGCACAGAAAGGGGAGGGAGGCAGTGCATGCGCCTCTCTTCAGCTCCCTTTCAGGGTGCAGCTGGAGTGCACTCAGTGCATACACAGATCTAGAAGCCAGGAGGTGCTGTTGCCTCCTGAAATGCAAGCCCAGAAAGCTCCAGGTCAGAGGAAAACGAATACCCAGGTTAATTTGCATCAAGCTCAGAGGAAGATCAAGATTCTTAGTACAGGGGTGTGAGGCTCCGATCTACCACCGAGGCTCACTCAGCCAAGACAATCCCCTCCTTTCTTAGGAGCTCAAGGAAACTCTCTTTAATTCTAGAAGGAAGATAAATACCAGCTACAATTCTCACTTCATAGGGAAGGAAGCTGAAATGGGTTTAAGCCCTCTTCTGAGTTTGCATTTACTTTGGGGTAAAAGATCACACAGGCCTCAGATCAGCGATTATGAAATGTCTCCTTAAAATTCATAGGCACTGTGTATTTGTGGCTATATTTATGTTCAGGACTGAGCTTCTAGAAAAAGAAAAGAAAAAAAGACAACTCTCTGCCCATTTCTTTACATTTCCTTTTTCAGAATAATAGTTCCAGTTACAAAGACCAAGTATTCTCATCTGGTTTGTTATCCTATATCTTCACGCATAACAACACTAACCTCTTTCCTCATAAAGTATCTCTCATATATATATGCTTATTGTCACCTCTAGGTATAACAAATCAATCTGGACTTTTTTTTTTTTTTTTTTTTTGATAGCATGCATGTTTTCTTTTCAGGTTACAACATGCGCCACGGCTGTGGATCAATGCATATGGATATCATTCTTGTTCTCATTGCAGCCTTGATTGTTGCCCAGATTGTGCTTGTTCAGTGGAAGCAAAGACACTGTTTATCACATAAAGTGAGTAGCTTGTCAGAAAGACAGCAGTTTTGGAGCTGTAGTGGTTAAGACATCATCTTTCTCAGGAAACATTTGGGAGTCATGATGGACTCTTAAGGGTTTACATCTAGCAAGCTAAGCTTCTGTGGAAAGCAGCACACCACAGCTTTTGGTCAGGTGGAGAATAGTTTTTATTTAGGAAAGCTTGTCTTGTGGCTAAGGTGCTAAAACTGGGGCTTATAGTGATTCAACTCACTTCCTTTCCCCTGTCACAGACTTCTCTGCAAACCTGAGAACACTAGAGTGACTTGATTACCACCCCTGACCTCCTTATTCAATAGTTTAAAATAAGTTAGGCATCTCAGAAGGGGCCAGTCCTTAAAAAGCAATGTGAGTTTTAAGTAAACGTTAAAGTGGGGATTACACCAATGTTTCAGACAGGCAGAATTTTAAGCACACAGGCAGTTTCTTAGCTTTTCCCTTTTCATCAGCTGATGAGTGCCCCAAGCCAGCTGTAGGTTGAAATCCAGTTTTTGTAACGGAACTTCTTAATAGCAGTAACATCAATAGGTGTCATGATCAATACTTTATCCCTTGGCAATTGCTCTTCAGGGTCTGAAGCGTCGTACCACCTGATTGACAGGTCTGTTGAACTCTAAAGGATGAAACCTTGATACAATTTACAGAAACTCTTTTAGTAAGGGCTATAAAACCAGCCCGGTCTACGGCAGCTTTACTGTTAGTGGCATTTCACAGTGGCATAAAATTGCAATAGAGAGGTTATGAAACAGGCTCTTCAGCTATATTTTACAGAGCTACGAACAGTGATGAAATGTTCATCGTGTCAACATATTTACAGGTGAAGTGTCTAAATTAAAATTAGTTAATGTGTACTACATCCATTTAACTTCTGTCAGAAATGCCAGTAGCCTACACTTGTTACAGTCCTATTGCTTTTGTAACTTAGTCTTTGGCAATTGAAGCTTCGTTCACAATTATTATTTTATAGGAGCTAGTCACACCTACCAAGTGGCACAGCCAATATGGAAAAAAATATACTTTTAAATGCATTTAGTCTGAGTTAGGGAGGCTCCAGTACAGCTAAAACCATCACAACACTTTAATAAGACTTTATGATGGTTTTTGTGGTTTCGGAGTGCGTTTTTAAATAAAAAAACCTGCACTGGAAACATGTTGGGGCCTCAATCTTCAGTGTGTAGCTGCGTGGCAGCAGCACAGCCACCTTCTCTAGTGAAAGAGGAACTGAAGCAGAGCGTCTTTCAGTAAAAATAGTAGCACCAGCAGTTAAAGTTCACTTTTCACTGAGTTCTGACAGTTCCGCTTCACACTCCATTTACTTGGGAGAGTAATATATTGTCACACCTACCACCTACCTGCGTAGAAAGTTAGTTACCTTATAACATCAAACACCACTCACAGTGGGTCTGCGCCAGTAGAAGGTTTATTGCATTTATTCCATGTTAGGTAACTTAAGAGTGTTCGTCACCAAAACAACTCACAAGTTTGTGTAATAACTGTCCTCATGTTTCATATCCACATACTTTCGCGTGGTTTTTGAACACACTGTTGATCTCATTGCATTAACTTGCTTTCTTTAAAAGCATGCCATGCAGCAATGGTAAAGTTATGTTTCTACCAGTATAGTAACTGCCAAAATCTGATCCACTGCACTTCCAAAACTAACAAATAGGACAAACATTAAGATCCAAAGCTGAATGATTAATGAGATCCTCTGCATCTGGTAGATGAAAAGTAACTGGTATACATTGTTGCATCAAATGAAGAAACCCTCTGATTTAGAGCCAGAAGCTGCAAAGGTGGTTGCATTTAGGATTTAAACAACTTAGATAATGCACACAGGAAATGGTCCATTTGACATAAAAATAAACAAACAAAAAAATTCTATTTCTTCCCTAAGTACAGGCAAGTCTAGACTTCTGCATTATAGCTCTCCTAGGTGGCAGTTATTATGTTAGCATTCATGTGCGTATCATTTTTGTTTGATTTGGTAGGAAACATTTAAATAAGTCAAAATTTGAAAAACAACCACATGCTCACTAAAGAGAAAACAGCCCTCTACTTTTGCTTGCTCGTGCATTTATCTTACTTGCCATCTAGCTTTTGACCGCTCAGTTTATGCCTCCATAGTTCACATATAGGTTCTGCATAACAGTGTTTAATACTGAAAAGAAGAAACCAAACACTTTCCCCTACTTGTAACAACATGTTTGTATCTTTAGGAGCAAAAGAGAAGAAAAATCAGATGAAGAGGTAGAACACATTCTTTTCAATGAGAGGAGTAAACCGAAGGCTCTTTTTCCCTATCAAAACCTGCTTTCTTTTCTATTTTCTTTCCCAAGAGATCTACAAAACAAGCAGCCAGCCCTCCATTGCATATCGTGGCTTGGAAGGCAGCATCAGCTGACAAACCTTTCTGTCTGATTCTTAGAGGTCAGGGTGGGTGTCTGCATGTATACATCCCTGCTCTGGATACTCATACTGTTTTCAAACATAGTAAGAGCTCAGAGAGAATTGCACAGTTTTGTTAGTAGAAATAAAGCAAAGGATTGCAGTGATTGACTCCCACACTCCCCTTCAAAGTGCTTTTAAAGATGTAAAAAAGAAAGGTTTGATTTCTTTTTGAAAGAAAAAGGAAACAAAGGTCAAAGGGAGCATAAAATCAGCCCTACATGGAAAGGGCATTCATTAGCTTGCTCAAAAAGAACAAAAAATAAAAAACAGTGGCTACTTACTGGATGCAAGAGAAAAAGCAACAGCCTATAGCTTCCAAAAGGGCCTTATCCAGAATGCAAAATGTCTCCTGAAAACAAAAAAAAATAAGGTATGCAGAGTTCCTATTTCAAAGAGGCAGGAGCAAAAAAGTTGCAGCAAAGCAAACAAGGCTCAGCTGTGGTTAATTTTGGCAAGAGGGAAGAGATTGTCCTTTGACAGATGGCTACTTGTAAGGTAACATGGGTGTGACCCTAGCATGAGGGGAAATAAGGAAGAGGGTTTTTTACTAAGTCTTGGCCTAAAATAAAATGTAGGCTACTCTGACAATTGTGCTTTTTCTTCTAAATGGTAGCTGGCAGTTTGGGGTTAACTTCTGTATGATGAGGAAGCACATTAGAGAAAATGATAATTTCTCAGTTACTTTTAAGAATTTTGTTATTGTTATTCGAGATTTTAAAAAATAAATATGGAGCCTGTGTTCTGCTGATTCATATTGTAAAAACCTGATTTGCAATTGGTTTGTATCTGTGTTCAGATAATACTCTAATTTCTCCACTTTGCTCACAAATTTTGCACTTCTCCAATTCAATGAGGTGCAGGCAATTATGTCCTTGCAACTGTGTTACGCACTCTGGGACATGAGGTGGCAACAAAGAATGCTAGTCAGAGAATTATCATCCTTGATAAAAACATTCCTGTCCTGTCCTGTCCTAGCCATTTTTCTCAACATAAAGGCAGGAGTTCAGCATATCAAATGGGGAAGGAAGGAAAAGGCTTATTAGTGTTCTGACTCTGTGTTTTCCCAAAGGAAATTCTGACTATCAGGTACTCAGCTGATTCTTATAATGCAATTTTCTTGCTGTTGGAAGTTGTCCATCGATGAAAATTAAATAAATATGATATATGTGGATGAAATTGTCCTCCCCTGGCATAATAGAAATCTTAAAATATCTGAGATAGGCAGATTTGTCATGGTCTCAGAACAATCTCAAACACAAAAGCCTTACTTCTGGTCCCATAGGTGGTTGCTCATTTTACTGATTATGTATCTTGTATCATGTGGCAGTCATGTAACAAGAATTTACTTTGGAATATATCTGAAAAATGAAGCAGCATAGTTATGACACCATTGATTTCTATACCAAAGTAATGAAGCAAATATTGAAAATAAGGTTGGTCGATTTACTTAACATAGAAATCCCTACCAATTTCCAATGTGCTATCAAATATAAACATATTAATTTAAACCTTAAAAACAAACAGCTGATTTATTATTTCTTCCATGCATGTGTTTTTGAGTATTTGAATATGTCTACACCAAAAGAAACGAGATTTTTAGAGAGCCAGTTGCTTGCACTGCCAAGTTAATGAGCTCTGGTAAGGTCAGTCTATCACAATAAATCTAATTATTACACAGTTATTTTCTTTATGTATGCAGTTTTTGCCATATGCTATAAGATGGAAAGGATAGTGGAATAATGCTGTTCTGCTGAATTTGTTGGTGAGAGGGATTCTTACTCAGAGGCGGGGGAACATTGTGAGGGAAGCAGAGGACAGATAGTAATTTTTCAGTTGGTGCTTGTATGACCTATTTCGTCTGCATAATTAGAAAATGGGAAAGTTGTCTATGACATTGATGCTGACTTCACTTCTAGGTCTTTTTGAGCTCATTTGAAGTACAGTAATGAGAAAAACATTTTACCTTTGGGCAGCAATCTGATTTGTCAGGAAATTCCTCTTGCTATGATGGGTGGATGAGGAAAATTGGGAATAATATGATCCAGATGTTAAAGCTCCCATTTAGCAGCAATGCAGATGTATTATTTTATGGAATTGTCCAGATGGTGACCTTCCAGTATTAATAATAAATCAGTACTGAGGTTTTTATCTGTATGACTTGAATCCTGTCTTTGTCCTTATTGACATGACAAATACTCATGCGTTTCATGTAGAGGATAATAATATTAAAATTAACAATCTGGAAGACATCAAAAACCGTAAGAAAATTTGAAACAATTACTGCAAACAATATATACCAATTGATTTGGTAACAGCATCACCCCAGAGAAGGTTGTGATACCATTTTTTAATTAATTAGAAATTCATTTTGCAGCTAACACGATAACAAAGCTCTGTTATAGATCTATATTAGAACACAGCTACTGAAGATGTGTGCCCATTCAGTTTTGGTTTTGCCACTTAAATTCAGACTTTATTTTCAGTCTACTGAAAAGAAAGCAACCCGCAGTACGTGAGTGTATTAGAGAGGGATCACGTTGGACAGCAGCAAGGCAGGGAAGCAACGGGGAAGCCTTTGGGGGTCTCCAGTGAAGGCCAGGAGACCTCAGCCTCTGTGACCAGGGATGTGAAGGGACCACTGACCTGTGGCATGCCAGAAGGGCTGTGTGGCACGGAAGGAGCTCTGTCACTTTTATGGTCACAAGCAGCAAACCATGGTCCCATAAAGCCAGGGCTGCAGGCAGGAGAAATTCATAACAGTGATGTGATCTAATGACGCTGTGTTGATATCTTTTATAGGTGTTTCTATCTGTTAATTTATTTAAACTTATATTGCAAAATACCAGTTTGCTCAATAGTTGCATGCTTTCTGGGGCTTTGTGAATTTTTATTTTTTTTAAGTTCCTCCTTTTTCTTAGGAGAAGAAGAAGAATCCAGTCCTGCGTCAAATGAATTCTGTGACAAAACTGTGTTAGGTTTCACAGGGAGTAACGCACGTTCCTTCAGCATTCTACTTTTTGGCTTAAGATAATAGATTAATCTTCCACAGAAATAGCTTTTTACTCTAGATAGGTTGTGCTTTTGGTTGCTTTTAAAAAATTCCACCACCCCAAACCAAACATAAAGGTGAAAACAGTCTCCCCTCAGAAATTTTTTTTAGTGACCTTTCTGTAAAGATGCAGGAGCTAACTCCACAAACACATATTAAAGTCAGTTTTGCTTTATCTTTGCCATCATCAGGCTTCCACAATCCCAAATCCATGTTTTATTAACGTGATCATGGAGAGAACTAGCATTATGGGGCTTCTGACTGTTCAGTGGGTTTCAAATATTTGCTTCTAGAAAAAGTAGAATATTTCATCACGGTAAGCAATTGAATAAATATGCATCATTAAGTTTGATATTCAATTTACAAAAAAGGTTTAAAACTTTAAGCAACAGCATTTTGTTGTGCTGTGGAAAGAGCTTTCAGGAAAAACCTTCGGTAGTGCAGTGTTAGAAAGACTAACATCATTATTCTAGAGCCAAAGGCTCTCCTACATCAGATACTGTACAAGTCACTTTTTTTTTCTTGTATGAGTTTTACAGCTTGGCAATCTGTTAATCAAACCTAACCATGCAAAATGGAATGGCAGGATGTCATTACTTCAAAATGACTGTCTCAGTTTTGCCAACAGTTAGTCATACTGCTGCAGATGTGGGTTGTTCCTCTTTTCTCTGCCATCAGACTTTACTGATAGAGATCCCTGTCCATGTGGGGAATGCTCTCAATTACTATCAGTTACATCACTTTCATTCCATCCATTCCATCTTAGTTTTTCATTCTGCAGCCTCTTACCATCAGCAGCCATCTCAGGTGTTATTGAGCCTGGAGAAGAACACATACCAAATAGTCTGAATTTATTCCTTAGAGCCTCCTCTGTCTCCTTGAAGAGAGGTCTGTATTCAGTCTTCTGAAAGTCTGCCTCTCCACACTGGGCTCTCAAAGACAATTGTCAATGGTTCAGAGATTGCTTCTGCTAACTTTTAAGTACTTTAGATAAATTTCACCAGTGGTATCCTGACTTGACTATAACTAACTTACCCCAGCTGTTTTTCACCTGTTCTTCTCCTGTTCTGGCCTATGTATCCCTCCTTCACAATTCCCAACTGTTAATTTTGTTAGCAATCTGTTCGCAATTACCATTTCTTGTGAAGACTGACACAAAACAAATAGGTTTTGGGGTTTTCTTCCTATATTATATATTTTTATTCATTTTTAAGTAAGAGAGAAATATAGAAGTGTAAAACCTCTATTTAATTTGTGTGAGCACTTCAGTAGAAGCTACCTACGTGGAATTTTGTGCCACTCTGCAAAATACGCAGGGTCTTGAGCAGTACTTATCTTCTCTTATACATATGTTGGTCTACAAATGGTTCCTCGTGATCTATAAACTGAGTTGTGCAGTTGGAATTGTGGGTTACCTAGTCACAACGTTTACCATGTTTGGATTTAGTTTATTCTTTAGGTAGGCATCTTCAGGTGAAATTGAGATTGGCAACTGTTATGATTTCCTTGACAGAAATTCAATAGATTTTACTTTGATTGCAGTGAAATTTCTCCAGGCGGGTCTCTTCACCACCCATCTCAACATATGAAACCGCTTTTATGTTGTGCAGGTGTAGGTTCTCTTAAGTCTTGTTTTTTCCTACTGCATAGTTGGTCTGAAGTTTGATATTTAGTCATTTTACATCTTGTGTTTGTGGTGTGAAGAGAGGAGGGGAAAAACCTTAAACTTCATACAGCCACTGTGTTCATTCATTTAATCCCCTAATTTAGTTACTGGGTTAATCCTCAATCCTTAATTTATGTACCTGAAGGAGATGAGACATAAAAAGGCTTTATATGAAGGATAAAAATAGATAAGCACATCCATATCAAAACTACATTATAATTATAATATATTATTTCCTGCTCTACCAGGCTGCAATGTCGCTAGGGGGTTCTCCTCTTTTCATTTTTACTATTGACAAAGACAATACTGTACGTCCAGATGATTCACAACCTAACCTCTCAATCCAGCTGGAATTTTTGCCTGGATAGAATTTGAGTTTTCTTTATGTTTGTTCAGGATTTATTTCTGACTAGCAGCCCGGACAGAGCTACTGTGTTGGACTCTGTTTGAGGCACCATCTAACTAGAAATTCCAGGGATTCTTCAAAAGCATGTAGATCAACTACATAATGCATCTGCTGTAAGTCCAACGCTTCTTGGAGGTACTGGAGATACTAAACATATGTAAATCAGCTATTCCTTTAAGTGTCAGGTCTGTTGCCCGTACATTGTTTAGTTGATTAACCCAAAATCACACAGCTCTGATGGAAAATGCTTGGCAGAAACTTAACAGTCTTGTGTTACTGGTACTCTTGGGCTTTATTCTGTTGAGGTATTTTATTTAACCAGCTAAATTCCCTCACCAGTATATTTTAAAGATATAACTATAAAATCTGTCAGCTCTATTTTGAAGATTCTTACTTTGTGCCCTGTTGCAGCAGAAATGGCAAGTCCTTTTAATGTTGAGAAGCTCCAGTTTCATGAGTATTCGGTAGCCAGGTTTCAGTCTCTCAAGACCTGTAACACATACAATCTCAGAGACATGACATGAGATGTTAACATTTTTTGCAGACTCTATTGGGTTGGGTTTTTTGGGGAGCAGGGGGTTAAATAATTCTTGCTGCAATTTAGCAAAGATTTTCTTCTGAGGAATTTGTATTCAGGAGGACAGCAGGCTCTTCCAGCTGCAGAAACCTAACATTTGACTGGTATCTTACACCTCACTGAGATTTGGCTGATCTTGTTGCTTCTGTAAAACAATTAAATATATCTAATTGTTCTAAGACTCTACACAAACACCCTTTCTTTATAGAAAGCAAATGTGTCAGCCTGGCCTTCCTGTAACACATCTGAGTATCTGTGGTTCCAAAAGCAGTCCACAGCCTTCTTTCAACATTGCTTGCTGTCACGCATATTAATACTTCAAGGATAAGGGTGTCTTCTGCTGCAAAAGAAAATTAAACTAAACCTGCAGTTTGAAGGAAGCAGGAACTGACTGGGGTGAAAATCTTGTTGATATTTTTTTCTGGCATTTTAGTCAAGAATATACGCACCCAAGCACTCTTTTGTGGTTTTATGACAGAATTGAATCTGATGTCTCCATGGATTTTAGTGTGATGCTCTTTGTGTACAGACTGTTTTATGGAGTGATGGGAAGAGACTTTGCAGAGATTTGATCTGACTACATGGCTTCCACCATTAATGTAAGTGCTAGGGATCATCATCCTGAATACCATTTGCAAGGACTGGAACTGAACTCTTGAATCTTTTATGTCCCTGGGTTTGTGAGACTACTACTGGATTCTCTTGCAGTAAACTAACCTCACTTTTCCTTGAGGAGAGCTGGTTTTGTCCCTCTTATCTGTAGAAGAACAGTCTTAATGAAGTAGTAACCAGTGACATATGCCAGGACCTGATTTGTGGTTTCCAACATGCTGGTTCCCTGTGTACAAGATGACAAAATTTTCCTGATTGCCAGAGGAAGACAAGCTTCTTTCTTCCTCAAAGTCTCTGAAAGACTCTTCTTGCCTCTTCCTTTTTATAGCTATTATCTTCCCCTTCCGAATAAGATGATTATCTCAGCACAAATCTCTTCTGTCCCAGTTACAGACAGACGGTTACAGCAGGCGGTTGCTAAAGTTTTTGCATCAGCAAGAAGATATTAACTATTTCTTGATAAATCTGTGCATCCTAGCACTAGTAAACAGACACCTGTAGCCGTTTTTGTGCTGTCTTATCTTCGATGGCACTTAAAATGTGTTTATGCATCCTTGACTCTAAGTAAATATTTTGTTGTTCTTTGGCTTCTTTTTTTCCTGTAAACTTGATCTTGTCAATTTGACAACATCAGTGGTATATCAACAAGAAATTTGCCCAATGACATCTGTACAGTCTGCGGGCAGGAAATTTTTGTGGAAATAAGTGAAGAAGGAATCATTAAAAATACCTGCCAACTGTCCTGTAATCATATGTATCCTTTCCACGTAGCTATGGAACTGTTGTTTTCTCCTCTTTTGTGCTGCATTAAAAAGTAACAACAACGGCAATGAACACCAAGAAAAAAAAGGAACCAAAACCACATTCAGAAACAACATAGTGCAAAAATACAAGTAGGAGCAGGAAATACATTTCAGTTCTGTGACACAAGTCAAGGCCACACAGCTTTCTGACAGACGAACTGACACAAGAGTGGGTGTAACCCTACAGTTTCAGGCCCAAATCATCCTTCCAGGTAATTCATGCACAGCCTGTGGGGGTGCGCCTGGCAGTGTATCAAACCGGACCTGCTGACCCATTGCTCAGGTCTGCTCATTCAGGCTCCTGTGTACTGCAAAGGATTTCTTCCAGCAGGGAGACGTGGAACCTTCTCAAAAGATGGCATATACATATCCTACAGCCTGACAGAAGACCCAGCGTCTCATCCTCAGGGATACCAAACAACTTGACATTTTGCATTCCATAAACCAAAGCCAAGGGTATCACTTCTGGAGCACTGTTACTCAATCACCCCTTCTGCAGGTCATGAAAGTAGCCTGGCTTCTTGTGAGGTGTAAAATATGAATACCAGAGTCTGGATGCTCAAGACATTCAACTTTAAAATAATTCTAAATATTCTAAATATTTTAAGTCATTTGAAACTGATCAGTTATAAACCAAGGTAGTATTCATAATCAGTCATTAACATTAACTGTTGATGGTTTCACTAAGTTTGCAAATGTATGCACTGGGCCTTGTTTATGTTTGAAAAGTTCCTTAACAATACACCTGATGCCAGGTTTCATGAATTCTGCATCTGTGGTTGGTGCATTGCTGGCAAGAGCCAGAATTGCCCGTACTGCCCTGAGAAAGTTGATTTGAAGAGGATGTTAAGCCCATATCCTTAAACCCCTATCCTTTCCCTAACAAGTGTGCTTTTGATTTAGATTTTCTAAACTGTAGCCTGATTGCTTGCTAATTCTTGTTCTGATCTGCAGTGAAGGGATGAGATGGCCACATTAAATAAATGGAAAACCAATTATTATTAAGGAACAATTATATTTAGGAAATATTATAGTTCTGTTTGGCTTTATCTTATCTAAGACCTCAAGCAAGCTAGGAAAATAAAAATGCCTACATAATTTTCCTTCTTGATTTTAAGACATCCGGAAATCATTTTCATAATGAGAGGAAAATTTTAAAGAATGTAAATCACAGTTTTAGGAAGACCATGCAGTGGATTTTGCTCTTTAATGAAATAAGAAAATTTATATAATCCACTTTCAGAGCAAATGCTGGTTTTTCCTCCTTCTCTTAGTAGTTAGTAAACAACACTTTTCCTTTAACAAATGAAATAATAGTTGAAGATCTGCTGCTGTATCCGTAGAAACCTGCTTGAGTGGAAGCAAAGTTTGGCTTACTTTTTTTGAAGCCTATTGTAACCATATGTGAGGAGAATATTTAAATTTAACCTTACCCCAGCAAAAAAATTAGAAGAGCTGAAAAGAAGGCATTTCATAGTTTTAACCCAATAATTTTTCTTTGATTCTGGCTAAGAAAAAACACCAAGATTTACCTATTGTTGCGTTTTCTCTACAGTTTCCTTAACAGATTAGGTGGGAACACATATGTATTGTATGGACAACTTTTGGACTGGCTCTGCTATCTGGTGGTTTGGCAACCAGTTGCTACAGGTATCATCAAAGGCATTAATTACTCACTGGGTCTAGAATAGGACCCAGGTTATTAGTGAGAATGCAAAGTGTTGGGTATTTACCTGTCTACAATAATATCCATAATCTGTACTTAATTTTAAAAGGCTAGAGAAAATAGCAGTTCATTTAACTCTGGTGTGCTATATGCCCTTCTGCAGGATAGTGCCTCTTTTTGCATTACGGCAAGACTTTACAGCATGCTATGAAAGCTTTTTTTTTAAATTTTCTCAAAGTAAGAATTAAAAGAAATTGTTGCCTTTAATGGGGAGAACGTGGTAGAAAACATATTACTTATTTTCTTATTATTAATAATTATTAATATCCCTTAGAAAATGAAAAGAAATGCCAATATTTTGTTTCATTATTAAATATATTGTTAGTGGCTTCCAGTTGAAATTTTGACTAGAGAAAGTTGTGCAGCACATGAGGAGAGTTTTATGCCAGACAATGTCTTTGTGTACAGCAAATTCTGAAAAATGGCACCCAAATAGTTTGTTCACTTGGTTAATGTAAGGTATCACAAGATCACCATTAGCTTTTTTTCCCCCTCACCTCTTTCAAGAGTTGCTGTATTGGAACTTGCATATCTTCCAATGGCCATTTACAAACAGCTTAACCGTGGCAACGTTTATGGTGTGCTTGGTAGTCAAATAGGCCTATATGTGGAGGTCCTATTAAGTCTTTTTTGACGTACTGTCACCATGCTCAGAAGGTCCAGCTTCCAACAACCAGCTTCTCAAACACAGCAGGGCCAAGTTACAAACCCTAACCACCAATTCCATATGTTGCTATTGCTTAAGGAAAAAAAAAAAAAAAAAAAAAAAAAAAAAGAGGCAAAAATCAGATCAAAATGGATGCAAATGTCTTTCTGCTTAGCGGTCGAATGTCTGAAATCTATACTATCCTGGCCACACTGTGAGGAATTGAAACGCAGCGTGTTTATGCAAGAACAGGCAGTTCTGCTTAGGAGTCAGAGAAGCTGGCCTTAAAAGGTAATTAGCCTAGCTGAAGTAGCTTTTGAACACATGAAATATGGCCAGCATTTTAAGAATCTTTACATTGTTATTAGAAATCAGAAATACAGATTAGCTTAACTTACACTTTAATACATATATTAGAATTAAAATTAAGTAGAGATTGTGTTTAGCCATCTACAAATGAAGGTGAGGTTTAGACGCTAAAAATAGGAAATCATGCAATTAAAAAAAACTTACGTAAATGAAAGAAAAGCAAAAATAAGTACATAGAAAGAAGGTGGCTTTGTTTGCTTAGATGAAGTAGCAAAGTTAATAACTCTTATAATGCATTATGCCTGTGTTCATATATGCCAAAATGCATTTAAATAAATGTTTTCTTTGCCTTACACTGTCAGAGTTGCCTAATTGTGGCTGTAACAGAAGAATGTTTGTCCTCAGCCTTCTCAGTGGCTAGCAAAGGACACTTCCAGTGTACAAACTCAATTACAAATATTGAGGCTTTTAAACAGAGATTTCGTACACGTTAGATGCTCAAGACCAAAACACAGCAATAAGAACACTAACTTGGGCATGATCTCCACCACAGATAGAGCAAAATGCTGTAGGCATGTTTCCATATGAAGGACAGTAGCTTAAAGTCCATTTAAGCAAGTCAGAAGAGTGTTTGGACCCTACTCTGAAGCACCTATTCCCATATAGGGTACAGTTAAACTAGACAGAAATGATCCATAGGTGCCTTTCACCAAGCCAGTTGTCTGCCATAGAACATACGCTGTACAACAGCCAGCACTGCAGTGGGAAAATGCATTTTTACACTAAGACTTGCAGCCACAATCCTCAGGAGATCTAGATATTTAACTTGTGGTGATTGTGAAATACTGCTGACAATCAGTCATTGGATCCACTAATTAAAAGAGCTAGGACAAAAATCCTTGCTGCATAAACTGAGTTTTACTGCATTTGGTTAGAAGTGCTTTATACAAAGAATGCAGAAAAACCCTTGGCTAGGAAGGCTCTCTCCTAAAGCTTTTGCAAAGATACAGAAATATAAACTACATAGCTGTATATCTAAACAACTTTTAATCCTTAAATATTTAAATGAAACAGCTTTTGCTGACCCTGATGATTAATGTAGACAGTTGTTGTGGTTTAACCCTGAAAGTCAGTGAGCACTATACAGCTGCTCGCTCACTCCCCCCTGCAGTGTGACGGGGGAGAAAATCGGACTCCCCGAGGTGGGATGGGGGAGAGATTCAGAAGAGTAAAAGTGAGAAAACTCGTGGGTTGAGATGAAGACAGTTCAATAGGTAAAGCAGAAGCTGCACACAAGCAAAGTAAAATGAAGAATTCATTCACTACTTCCCGTCAGTGGGCAGACGTTTAGCAATCTCCATGAAAGCAGGGCTTGATCACTTGGGGAGACAAACACCATAACTCCAAACATTCTCCCTTCCTCTTTCTTTCCCACAACATTCATTGCCAAGCATTACATTATATGGTGTGGGGCATCCCTTTGGTCAACTGAGATCAGCTGTCCCACCTGTGTCCCATCCCAAATTATCATGCACCCTCAGCATACTCACTGGCAGGACAGCGAGAGAAACAGAAAAGGCCTTGATGCTATGCAAGCCTTGTTCATCATTAAATAAAACATCCCTGTGGTATCAACACTGTTTTGGTCATAAATCCAAACCACAGTACTATAGGAGCAACTATGAAGAGAATTAACCTATTCCAGCCCAAACCAGTGCAACAATTCACGAACATAGCTACAAAAATATGATAATCTCAGAGCAAGTAATAGACCTTACAGTAGCTCAGCACTCTGTTCTTGAGATAGAGATACGTGATGGGACAAACACACAAGGGAAACCAATCCAGGCACATTTGCCACATACTCAGTCTTTAATGCCCCTGTCTATGATTTCAGAGCTATTTTCAAATTAAACCAAAACATCTGCTGCTGCTCTTCCTCAA